ACAGAATCTCATTATGTCATCCTTGGTGCTGTGGTGTCACAGCTCACAGCAACCTCAGACTCTTGGGCTTAAGCGATTCTCTTGCCTTAGCCTCCCAAGTAACTGGGACTACAGGTGCCCACCACAATGTCCGGCTATGGCACTATGGTTCTTAGAGCATCCGGTCTCATGACTTTCTCTATGATAGAAAGGAGGCCTTGCAAGCAAATAAATAATTCCACATGGGGGCACATGGGCTCATCCAGCCCTGCCAGGAGCCTGTCCAGCAGCACCCTGCAAGAACACTGTTATTTAGAATAAAAGGGGTCGCCATAATATTAAATGGAAGAAATAATTAAGATCTATACATAGTGGCTTGGTGAGGTGCGTCATGCCTGTAACCCCAGCACTCTGGGTGGCCAAGGCGGGTGGATTGGCTGAGTTCACAGGTTTGAGACCAGCCTGAGTCAGAATGAGACCCTGTCTCTAAAAATAGACAGGTGTTGTGGTGGGCGCCTGTAGTCTCAGCTACTTGGGAGGCTGAGGCAAGAGAATCGCTTGAGCCCAACAGTTTGAGGTTGCTGTGAGCTATGCCTCCATGGCACTCTACTGCAGGCAACAAATTGAGACTGTCTCAAAAGAGAAAAGAATAGCTTGTCTTGTGGCAGGTGCCTATACTCCCAGTTACTGAGGGAAGAGAATCACCTGAGTTTGAGGTTGCAGTGAGCTATGATGCCATAGGACTCAACAACCTCAGGGCTAGTGAGAGACTGTCTCAAAAATAAATAAATAAATAAATTTGTTCTAGCTGTAACATAAATTCTGTGATTCTAAGGAATATTCAAGTTGTGTTTGTTTTAAAAGTTAAAGACCAGCTGAGTGTGGTAGATCAAAGACCACATGGCTGAAACACCACTGACTTTTCACCAAATATGCTCCCATACCTTTCTCATCTCCACAAATTCAAAATAATTCACAAAAGCTCTGTTCATCTTCATTTCCTTCCTTTCTCTCAGCTCACATCCAATTTATTAGTGATTAGAGAACTGCCTCTAGAAAACAATCCAGATCTTACCACTTCTCAGCATCCCCACTGTTTAAGACACTAGTGGTTTTCTATGACTTGTAGACTGAAATCCACGGTCCTTACCTGCAGCCCATATCCAAGCGATTTATAGTGGCTCAAAATGCTTGGCCCTCCTTAGTGTCTAGCCTGTTTTTACCATTAGCAGGGACTACCAGACTCTCCAGTTTCTACCCTTCAATGCTACTCACTATTGGCACATGTGAGCAAGCCACAGGGGAGGAGCAAAAACTTCCCTGGAGTCTTACTCCTTGGTTTCCGTTTTTAAAAAGTCAGGCCAGGTGTGGTAGTTCACTCCTCTAATCCTGGCAGTTTGGGAGGCCAAGGTGGGAGAACTGCTTGAGGCCAGGAGTTTGAGACCACCCAAAGCAAGAGCTCAGACTTTATAAAAAATGAAAAAATTAGGTCAGGCAATAAGGCTCACACCTGTAATCATAGCAATCTGGGAGGCCAAGGTGGATGGATTGATTGAACTCAGGAGTTCAAGACCAGCCTGAGCAAGAGTAAGAGCCAGACCCCTCTCTACTAAAAATAGGAAAAACTAGCCAAGTGTCATGGTGGGTGACTGTAGTTATAGCTACTCTGGAGGCTGAAGCAAGAGTATTGCTCGAGCCCAAGAGATTGAAGTTGTTGTGAGCTGTGATGATGCCATAGCACTCTTCCCAGGGTGACAGAGTGAGATGGTGTTAATAAAAATTAGGCTTGGCGCCTGTAACTCAGCAGCTAGGGCGCTAGCCATGTACACCTGAGCTGGCAGCCTGGGAATCCAGTGTGGGCCTACCAAACAATAATGACAACTACAACCAAAAAGTAGCAGAGCATTGTGGGAGGTGCCTGTAGTCCCATCTACTTGGGAGGCTGAGGCATGAGAATCACTTAAACCCAAGAGATTGAGATTGCTGTGAGCTGTGATGTCACGGCTCTCTACCAAGGGCGACATAGTGAGATTTTGGCTCAAAACAAACAAAAAAGAAAAAAAGGTAAAAATTAGAGAAGTATGGTAATCTTATTTGAAGTTGCAGTGAGCTCTAGTCCTAGTGACAGAGAAGACTATGCTTCCCTAAATAATAAATAAGATAAAAAAAGTTGAGGAAAAATTTACATACTGTGAAACACTAGATTGAAGCATACAGATCAATGAATTTTGAAAAATGTACAAATTGAGACTTTTCTTCATCTTTGTGTGAGAAAATAAAATAGTACAGAAGTATTTAAAGTAAAAATGATAGTCTCTCCTCAAATCCATTACAGCTTTCTTTCTTTTTTTTTTTTGGAGACAGAGTCCCACTTGGTCACCCTTGGTAGAGTGCGGTGGCGTCACAGCTCACAGCAACCTCAGACTCCTGGGCTCAAGCGATTCTCTCGCCTCAGACTTCCGAGTAGCGGGGACTACAGGCGCCCGACACAACACTTGGCTGTTTTTAGAGACGGGGGTCTCAGTCTCGCTCTCGCTCAGGCTGGTCTCGAACCTATGAGCTCAGGCGATCCACCCACCTTGGCCTCTGTTTTGTTTTGTTTTGTTTTTAAAGCTGGTCATTGCAGGCAATGTTGAGGACCACTGTAATCTTTTGCTTATGTATTTTTAGTTCCTCAATGAGGGTCTTCTCAAATCTCACCTCAAAGGTACCTTATTTTAACCTCAGGTAACTTTTTCTGAACCCTTCTCCAGTGGCGGCCTCTCCTTGCTCTATTACATCTGCTTGTGTTTTCGTTCCCGTCTATTTCCCCCACCTGAGTGTGAGTTCCCCGCAGAATCCAGCACAGGTCGGGCACACGACAATCAAAGAGAGTGTGTGGAGAAGCTCAGCACATTGTTTAGCTCAATTTAAGGCATGTCTGTTTCCACCACTAGGCTGTGAATTTCCCCAGGACAGACCCTAGGACACCACTGCTGGAGATGCCTCGGTGTCTTTCCCGGTCCTCCCGGGAAAGATCCTCCTGGCGCCGGCGAGGCTGAAGCGCTGGTCTAGATCCCGCCCACCAGCGGGCGTGTGCAGGGGGTGTGGGAACCGGTCGCAGGCCTCCCTTTCCCGCCGCGCCGGCGCTGCGCGCCCTCCCACAGACAGGGGGCGCTGTGGAGAAGCCGCGGCTTCCGGCCGGCTTTTCCCTTTCTTCTGCCGCCAGCGCCAGCACGTCCTGTTTTCTTTCGTTGGCCGCGCCGGAGTGGCCGCCGTTCCCGAAGCTGCTACCGCCTCTTAGTGTGGATTCTCGCTTGGCTCGACGAGGGCAGCGCAGCCTCTTTCTTTGTCCCGTTTGCTTGCGCGTCGTACCCTAGGGCGTCGGCTTTCGCGCAGCCAGAAGCATGGGCCGGGAGTCACGGTGAGGCGGCGTCCCGGGCGGGCGAGGGGGCGAGCGGCTTTTTGAGGTTGAGAGAAGAGGTGGGAGTTGAGGTGGTCGCAGTGGCGGGCGGAGTGCGGCCCCACGTGTGGCCACGGCTGCCCTGCGGCCACTGGAGCAGCCGTAGGAGCTCGGCAGAGAAAATGGCTGTGCGTCGGCCGGCGACCGGCACAGGCTTTCCCAGCACTACCACCAACCGGTTCGAGCCCCGTGAGCGGGAACAACCTTCTAGGTCTAGGACGTGAGTGGTTGGGCATCATATCCCGCCAATTCCACGGAGCTTACTACCCTAATCAACTCAGTCAGTAGTGATTCCCCTCGAGTTTCGTATCACTTCGCGTTTGCAACATTTCCTAGGTCTCCCATCTCTCTATTTTAGTTCTTTGTCCCAAGTCAGTTGAAAGGATCGTGGGGGCAGACATTTTTTGCCTGATCTACATCGGTACACAGAACCAGTCTTTTACTGGACTAGGATAAGTACTTCTTGCGTGGACATTTGTTTTGCAAATAGATTTAATTTTTCTATGTGTAACTGATTCGATAATCGAAAAATTAGTAGTTGCCTCATATCAAATAAATTTTTAATATTCACGTTACAACTGAAACTGCTAGAATAGCTTTGAATGAACAAGACTGTAACAAATGTTAATCTCAGCACGAGTAGCCTTTAACAGCTAGTCCTTTAAAAAGCAGAAAAGAAACAAGTCTTAGTAAAAAATGCGAACCAGAACTTTATAACTTTCTGTTCATTGATACTTCCTTTTCATATTTTTCCCCCATACAGCAAAAGCAACCCCCATTACAGTCCTGAAATGGACTGTAATAACCGCACTTTACTTGTTTGTTTAGCGAAAGACAAAATAACACTACAGATTGTCCCCAAGAACCATTGAGCCTGTGCCCAAAAGTAAGAAAACCACTTACCCCCCCAGCTCCATTATTATACTAAAAATCCCACCCTAATGAATGATTTATCCACCATTTTTTATTCATAAAATACGTATACTAGCATGATTTCTCGCTGAGCTTACATGCCCTGCACCCCACCCCACACATATAATAATGTTCACTCCTTTCATACATTATTCATTTCACCTTTATGAAACCACCCCTAACCCTGTTAATCAGGGAGGCGGATTTAAGGCAGTGCCTTTTCCAAGTTAATATATCTTCTAAAACTTTTTTGGTGGGGCACGGTGGCTCACTTCTGTAATCCTAGCATTCTGGGAGACCCGAGGCTGGTGGATTGCCTGAGCTCACAAGTTTGTGACCAGCCTGAGCCAGAGTCAGACCCCATCTCTAAAAATGGCGGGGTGGTGTGGTTGGGGCCTGTAGTCCCAGCTACTTGGGAGGCTGAGACAAGAGAATCACTTAAACCCGAGAGTTTGACGGTGCCTGTGGCTCAAATGGCTAAGGCGCCAGCCATGTACACCTAAGGTGGTGGGTTCGAATCCAGCCCGGGCCCACCAAACAACAATGACCGCTGCAACCAAAAAATAGCCAGGCATTGTGGCAGGCGCCTGCGGTCCCAGCTACTTGGGAGGCAGAGGCAGGAGACTCGCTTGAGCCCAGGAG